GGATGTGAGAGCCGCGTCCCTCCGCGCGTGCCGGGGTCCCGCTCTCTCCCGGCCTTGCTCGCTCGCTGTGTCCCCGCGGCGGCGGCGGCGGCTGTTCCCGGCCGGGCCCCGCGTTATGTCGTGATCCCGGGCGGGCGGCGCTGCTGCTGCTGCTTCTGCTGATGGGGCTGCTCAGGATTATGCTGCCGCCCAAGTTGCAGCTGCTGGCCGTGTTGGCCTTCGGCCTGGTCGTGTTTTTCCTCGAGAACCAGATCCAGAAGCTGGACGAGTCCCGCGGCAAGCTCGGTGAGCTGCACCGCGCCGGGCCGGGCCGGGCCGGACCAGCGTGTGGTGGGGGGCTGTGGGAATGGCGGCGGGTACAAAGGTGGAGCTGGCAGGGGAGGGAGACGATGGCAGTGCCAGGAGTTGGGGAAGGGGAAGCTGCTCCCCACCCGCTTCCCAGTGCAGAGCCCGCTGGGACCGGCAGGACCGCGAGGCGGCTTCTCCTACATGGCACTTGTGTTTACGTGTCTGCAAATCCTGTCTAACGGGCTGGCTATGATTCCGGGGGGGACTGTGCAGAAGAGGCTGGAAGTAGGGGAGATGGCGGTCAGGGCCTCACGCTTCACTCCGATGGAAATTCTGCATAGGGAGAGTGAGGGCTGGGGGTTGGGGCTGGGAGAAGATGTGTATTTCTAGGGAGTCTCAATGCACTTTTTCCAAAAGAACAAAAAGAGAAGGAAAAAAGCCAAAGACGGTTGTTGCTGGTGATTTGTTGGAGCCGCCGGCTTATGTGTGTGGTGTGCAGCCCAGCTGGAGGTTGAGGCACAGTTGTGGTGCCCAAAGCAAGTCCAGCTCCACTTTCCCCTGCTTCTGCACATATTTATCTGAAATGCCCTTATTTCCAGTTCAAACTTTTTAATAAGAATTGGATCTAATCCAGACGCATGGAGGTGGAAGAGGAGTACTCAGATTGTGTGGGTTGAACCAAATCAAGTGAAATCAGTGGGTTGCATGTAACAGGCAAGAAGCGTGATTTGTTTCACCCTCATTGAATGCAGGTTTTATTTACCTCTGCTCAGTAAATGAAACTACTGCAGGACTCCTGTTCAGAGCTAAAGTTGTTAAACTGTGTAAATTTAACCCTTTCCCCTTACGTTTTTAATTTTTACTTTTAATTTCTAACAGTACTTTTCCAGGGGTATAGTAAATGTCAGACTTCAGAAGCACTAAAGGGTTGCATAACTTAAGCAGAACGAGGAGATGCTGTTTTTAACTCCGTTCATTTTATTGTAACCATGAATTGGGTTGCAGTAGGACTTCCAGAATACCAAAGAGCAGAGGGTTAGGCTATACATGATTTTGTTACTTAGTGCTTTAGGTAGGTAACCTTATCCATATTAGTTCATTATAGTATATTTTTTAACAGATGAATGTTTGTGGCTTGCACATATACAGAGGAAAGAAAGGACAGTTTCTAGGTTTTTTGGTTAGAATTGGAAGTGGACTTTCAGTGAAATGACAAGTTTTACTGTAATGGTGTTGGAGTGGTGTTGTAGCCTGCCTAGGAAATGTATAAGAAGCAAGGGGTTATTTTGAGATACATTTTATTGAACCAACTGTTGTTGGGAGATGTTAGGTAAGCTTCAGATATAAAGTGAAGAAGGGCACTTCATGGCTGAAAATTAGTTTTACATAGTTCCCAACTAAACAATTGCTTCAGTAAGAGATCTCATGCATACATGCACACTCTGTTGCTTTTTGAAAGTTTAACTGTGGCCAACTTCTGAACTCAGTAAAGGTGAGTGGCATTCATAGACTAGTTCAGTGGTTCTCAACCTTTGTAAGCTTATGAGGCTCCTCTGTAGACTCAGCAACCATAAGAAAATGCCAGCTCTTGGTTTTCATGCTTTTTTTGACTACAGAAAAATAATGCAGCAGTTCTGTTGCAAAAACTCAAAAAGACCACAACAGGTCAGAATATTTTTAACACTATGGATTCCTGCATGAAAACTCTGGGTTTATCTTGTGAATCATGTCTGCATACCTAATAGTACAAACATTTTGTGGCATCCACAGCCCCACAGTCTGAAAAGGATGTCAAAGTACCCCAGGGTGCCATGGCACCTTAGTTGAGACCTACTGACCTAGCTATTGGAAATCAGAAGCCTTTAAAAAGTGTTTGACTACATGAGTTATCTATGAGTTTTTTACCTCTCAGTTTAACAATATGTTACTAATATGCGAAGGGTAGAATCATTTGATTTTGCTTGGATGGCTTGTCTTTTTGGTGGCTTATTTAAAAAAGTGTTAAGAAAGAACAACACACTTGGATAGTTTGAATAGATATTGTTGATAAAGCAGTCAAGGATTAATGAAATTCCATAGAAGTGTATTTTTAACTGCTTGGCACCACTAGCTGCACTACATCCATTGTTGGCAATGGATGTCACGCCAAGAAAATCCAACTTCTAGCTCAAAAGGATTAACATAATGCAATGTGGGGATAAAGGGTTTTGCTGGTAAGACTTCCTTTTACTTCACCTTAATAGATATACATTGGACACGATTAGGTTACATATTTAGAGGATTAAAATACACATCACTCAGTCTGCTTCTGGACAAGAATCCAATCACTTCATTCTGCTGATGGAGTTTTTATCTCTTGGAAAAGGAGGTAATCTCTATTTTGAATTTGATGATAAAATATAACGGAAAATGGTGCCTAGTAAGGGACATGTCAATGGTTCTCAGAGCTGCATGGGAGGAGAAACTAGAGCTGTTTAACAACTTATTAGACTGTTTATACTCTGGATTAGGAAGTACCTTTGTATGAGAGGCCTGTTACTACAATGACGCATGCAGAATTATGCCACCCCATGTGCATGTATGTAATCTAAATATTATAATAGTAATAAAACCTAATGGAACTTGTAAGTTTTTTACTGTGGAAATAGTCTGGATGTTTTAGTGCCATTTTCACCTCACTGCAGTACAGAGTTCAGTTGCCCTATATTGAAATAATCAGTTTTGATCCAACACAATGGACCTAGAAGGGTAAAACAAAGAAACAAACAAAACAAAAAACATAAGAAAAAAATAACGAATATTAGTGAGCCCATGAACTGATGAGAGTGACTGCGTTTGGACTGAAAGGCCTATGAAAATATCATGTTGGGTCTGGAGCTGGTAAATCAAATTGGGTGTTGACTCCTTTTTTTTTTTTTGCCTAATTGATCTATCACATGAGAGAGCATGCCATGATAAGTTGTAAGATTTAATAATTCTGTGATTTGGACAGTGACTCAGAAAACTGTGTAATGGGACCTCTAGCAGAAAATCATTCTTGAAGGCTTTTGAGTAAAACTCTTGGTGGAATGGTATTTCCTCATACTTTTGGATGGAACATGATGCTGATTCTCCAACACACAACATACATACTTGATTTTAGATTGGTGTAAAATAACTTCCAGTGAAAAATAAGAACCTCTTTCTGATTTTTTTTTTCAAACATTCACTCATGCAGCTAAAATTCAAAATCACTGTCACTTGTTATTTTTGCCTTTTATATTACGATCTGCAGAAGCTAATTTGCAATGATATCTTTGCTTTTCTCACATTGTGTCTTTTCCCCTCCAGGAAGATTGCTGTGCTCCTAATTGCTTTTTGAAAATATTTAAATAGTGATAGAATGAACCTAGTTTTACTACTAATGAGTAAGTTTTGACATCACTTGAGGGCAATTTTCCCCTCCTTAAATAAGATGTTTCCCCTTCAGTTATAACTGAAATTAACTTTTCTGCTATCAGAGTTTTTTTTTCTTAATCTCAGGATTCATTTTTATTTCAAGTGCTGCTTCATTTTCATAGGGATATATTGACAAAATCTGTCTAGAATGCTGTATTTATGAAGAAAATTCTTAAAACTTTTAAAACTTTGCTCTGTGGTAAAAGGATTTATTGTTAGTCTGTTTCCCCAGGGTACCCTGGTTAATCATTACTGAGAAAACAGTGTTTGTTTTTACTAATTGTTTATGTAAATTCAAGAAATGAATAAAAAAAGTTTTAATTAAAAGGTAGATTTTTGGTGTGTGTTTTTCTAACTTTGCTGTTTATGGCTCTCTTCTTTTCTTTACATTATTCATGTTAATTAATTTCTTTTAAGATACTACATACTGGCCACTTCTAAAAATCTATTGTCCTAGCAAGGATTTTACAAAGGTTGAAACCCAGGTTTTTTAACTTAGTTTTTGGTTGGGCTTTAGCATATGACCAACAATCCTGCTTTTATAACCTGTGGATTTTTAGTAAACACTTTAAATTACAGAGTTGTCTAAAATGACAACTCCACCCTAGAGTTCTAAAGGAATTAGCTGAGGTCATTGC